AGTAATGACCACCCCCGTAGACCGCGCATGGACGCTAAACGACGACGCTTTGGACAGACGTGGACCCTTACCGAGAGGTCGTAGGAGCGGCGCCACGTCACCCAAATGGTAGTCACCATCATAGTCCTAGGTATAGTCATGGCTAAAGGTCTTGTCACCAGTAGGGGGATGGTCTATGTTTCTGACATGTCAGTAGTCATGTCACCATACCGTAGTGGTCACGTCATCATACCATCATGTAACTCACCCACCACCATGTAGCCTATAAATACGGCATTTACTCCGGTGGGTGAGAGGATCGGATTTTTGGACCACTCTCTATCTCTAAGAAAAAGAACGAACTTCTCTCACTAAAGACACTCTCTCAACTCTATTCTTCCCTCCATTTATCTCAAAGTTCTCGGTTAACCAAGTTGTTCATTCTTCTCGACCCGTTCTTGTGAACCTCACTCCTACACTCAGTTAGGTTCAAACAGTACTCATATGACATCAATTAAATAATATTTTATTTTTAGTAATGATATTACATCAGTATGCTATCGATTGGATAAGGGTTGTACTATTCACGTACTATTATGCTAACATAGTTTCTGCTAGGGTTTCACAAACCATATGTTTGTTTTGTACTATAGAAACATAAGGATGATTTAAGTTTCAAAACTTCTTCACAACTCAAGTTTTATTAGATGAATTAAGGTTAATTGCTCCTGTTGTTTAGGTTTGTTGAACTTCGAGGTTCAAAAGATTGTGTTATGACTCTATGATATTATAATATATTGTGGTTGACTTATTTGTTTATCCTACTTCATTTATTGATATCATTTATCAAACAATAATATAAGGAGGTTCTCCTCCGGAACCGTTTATTTAACTTTTTCTTGCTCTCCTTGCTTCTCCGTAGACCACGGCAAGGCTCTATGGACTTTTTCACTTTATTATAGGGTTAATATTTCTGTATGGCCTGAACTTTTACCAAAATAAACATTTTAACGAATCTTTTCGATCTACAACATCCTGGCACAAGCTATACATGAAAATAAACAAATTGGCAAGATCCAACTTTTGACCGTTAACTTAGATGGTCAAACGCGTTTACTAACGGTCAACGCGCCATGTCACTGCCAACTCAAAAAATTTCAATTAATTTTTTTTAATTTACACCTATTTTCATTTTCTTTCCTTTATCATTTTGAACGAAAAAAACAAACAAAATTGGAAATAGGTGCCGACCACGGCCACGATTGGTGTCGGACTGAGATAGAGCCACCAGCGGCGGGATCGCTCCTTCATGCGCCACCATCGCCCTGTAGTCCAAATTGTCCTCGCAGAGCTGCAGCAGCACCGAGACGGCGATCTCTTTTTGCCGCTGGGAGCCGACCTCGACGATCTCCACCAACACCGAAATCCTGGCTTCCTCTACCAAGGAATGACCTCGCCTCAGGAAGGGAGACCAGCGCGCTGAGAACGTACGCCGCCTTGTCCACCATGTTTGACCCGAAATCCGCCATCAATTCCACCAGCGGTTTCATGATCCCCGCCTGTATGGCTGTGATTTTGTTCTCCTTCACCGAGTAGAGGGAGTAGAGCGCGGTGGACGCGTCCTTCTTCGCGCGGAACCTGCCGCTCTCTAGCAAGCTCACCCGCAGCGGAATCGCCCCCGACCTCCCTATTGCGACCTTATTCTCTTTCAATTGCAAAATCCGGAGCAGAGCGCAGGCTGAATTCTCCCTCGGCCTGGAAATAATGGAAAGAAAATGATAAAGAAAGAAAATGGAAAGAAAAATGGGATTCAAAATGATAAAAGGAAAGAAAGTGGAAATAGGTATAAATAAAAAAAATTGAAATTTGCTTAGTTGGTAGTGACATGGCGCGTTGACTAACCGTCCAAGTTAACGGTGAAAAGTCAGATTTGGCCAAATTGTTTATTTTGATGTATAGTTCGGGCCAGGATGTTATAGATCGAAAAGATTGACCAGGATGTTTATTTTGGTCAAAGTTCAGGCCATACAGAAATATTAACCCTTTATTATAATGAATGTACTAAGGAATTTGGGTATATATCAAGGCATGCGGCAAAAAGAAAATTTGACCTTCCTTCCAACTTAATTCCAAGCTAGCGCTAGGTATACTTCTTCCTTCTAATTATTATAATAAGAAATTAAGAATATTACAGTCCATGAAAGTGACGGAGAGGAGCAAGTAACCTTCTTTTTCCCTCTGTTCTTTTGTGTGAAATCGATTTTGAGTTGTTTTCTTTTTCTTTGTAACTTTAACAATTACGCTCTGCTAATTTGCGCTCAAATGCCTATGAAAGAATACATATAGAAGTGTGAACCATTATTATTCATTAATTGTACTCCTTTGTTTCATTACATTTTTGTAGCTTTACTAATATTATTTAGACTAATAATTTTGGCGACTGCGGGGCTGGGCCGCTGGGGGCGATGAAAGGGAAGGTGCACGAGAAGCCGTTTGTGAGCCCGAGCGGGTTCAACGGCCAGTGGGAGCTGTTCTCGAAGAATTCCTGGGTTTCGGCCATGCATTCGATCTTGCTGTCGAAGGTGGAGAAGGTGATTATGTACGATGCGACGATTTGGAGGTTCTCGAATATCTTGCTGCCGAATGGCGAGTGCAGGGTGCTCGATCCGAAGACAGAGGCAAGGCGGCGGGCAGAGGCAGTCGCAGAGTGTGAGGGTTGAGAGAGAAGTGGAGAACGAAGGCTAGCAGTGCTAGGGTTGGGGGGGGAGTTGGTGTATTTAAGAGTAGGCAAAACGACGTCGTTTCGTCTCGGTCGGTTAGCCGGTTACCCGGTTTCGTTTCTCTGCTAACCGCTTGACCACTGATCCCTTCCGTCAACCGAGAGCCCCTCTGTTTTTTCGGTTTCTGGTTAGTCGCTAACCGCCGGTTAACGGTTCGACCGGCCGGTTAGCCGCTAACCGGCAACCGAAATGACAACCCTACTTTCCGGGAATCATCCAAATTTAGGTTACCCAATTCGTTGGGTTGGCCTCCACGTTCCCGCTCCAGCGCGTGGAAATCGCGAATCATCTGGAAATCGTGATTAATTCGTGTCGCGAACTAAATTTTTGGGAGCTTGAACTTCAATTCACCGGAGTGCGGATCCGGAATGAGCGCTTCTACTATGCTCTATAGTATTGGTGCTTTAATGCACAACTTTAGGTTGTACCATAACAATAAATGTATAAGTTTAGGTTGTAGCATAAAGGAATTTGTATTATTATGTTATGGTATAACTTTACAACTTGAACTTGTACCATCACATAAAGGTACAAGTTCAAATTGTACCATAAAAGAATTTGCACAAAAAGTATAGGTACAATTTGAAGTTGTACCATAACGTTAAAGGTACAATTTCAAGTTGTACCATAAAGATAAAAACCTATAGCACCAATGCTATATAGCATTGTAAAATTCCTCGATCAGGAATATGTGAGGTCGATTCCCCATCTTTCCTTGTTGCTTGAAGGCGTGATTGGCGAAGGGGAATTTGTTCTCCTAGATGAGGAAGACGACGAGGCAGCGTTGATGCATATTGATGAGGTCCACATCGTTAGTGCCGGCGGGATCGAGCGGAAGAATTGAGTACCAGTCATGGTGGTTTTCGGTGATTATTTTGTCAGAAGATAGAAAGACGCCGGTGACGGCCAAGATTTGATCGGAGCCTTCGATGAGGAGATCGGTCTCCTGAGATGGTGAAATCATTGCTTCCCTTGAAATCCGGCGATAGGAGAGCCGTTTTTATCCAACGGGTGATTTAGGGAAAAGAGAGTCGTTTTTATACCACCATAAGGTGTGGTTTATTCTTATATTTCTCTTTCTGAATGATAAGATAAGTTTTCTGATGATATTTTTATAATTAGGGTAATGTCTACTTTTTATCCAAACCTTATTCAAATTTTTTTCTATTATCCAAATCGGTATATATAAATTAGTGAAGGTGCACGAAGCGGCGGGCGCAGTGGAAGCGGCGGGGGGCGCCGACGGCGGGGCTGGGGGCGATGAAAGGGAAGGTGCACGAGAAGCCGTTTGTGAGCCCGAGCGGGTTCAACGGCCAGTGGGAGCTGTTCTCGAAGAATTCCGGGGTTTCGGCCATGCATTCGATCTTGCTGCCGAAGGTGGGGAAGGTGATTATGTACGATGCGACAATTTGGAGGATCTCGAATATCTTGCTGCCGAATGGCGAGTGCAGGGTGCTCGATCCGAAGACAGAGGGAAGGCGGCGGGCAGAGGCAGTCGCAGAGTGTGAGGGTTGAGGGAAAAGTGGAAAACAAAGGCCAGCAGTGCTAGGGTTGGGGGGGGGGGGGGAGTTGGTGTATTTAAGAGTAGGCAAAACGACGTCGTTTCGTCTCGGTCGGTTAGCGTCGGTTAGCCGGTTAACTGTCTTCGGTTTCTCGGCTAACCTCTTGACCACTAATCCCTTCTGTCAACCGACCGCCCCTTTGTTTTTTCGGTTTCCGAATAGTCGCTAACCGGCGGTTAACGGTTAGACCGGCCGGTTAGCCACTAACCGGCAACCGAAATGACAACCCTACTTTTCGGGAATCATCCAAATTTAGGTTACCCAATTCGCTGGGTTGGCCTCCACGATCCCGCTCCAGCGCGTGGAAATCGCGAATCATCTGGAAATCGTTATTAATTCGCGAACTAAATTTTTGGGAGCGCGAACTTCAATTCATCGGAGTGAGGATCCGGAATGAGCCATTCTACTATGCTCTATAGTATTGGTGCTTTAATGTACAACTTTAGGTTGTACCATAACAATAAATGTATAAGTTTAGGTTGTACCATAAAGGAATTTGTATTATTATGTTATGGTATAACTTTACAACTTGAAGTTGTAACTCACATAAAGGTACAAGTTCAAATTGTACCATAAAAGAATTTGCACAAAAAGTATAGTTACAATTTGAAGTTGTACCATAACGTTAAAGGTACAATTTCAAGTTGTACCATTAAGATAAAAACCTATAGCACCAATGCTATATTGCATTGTAAAATTCCTCGATCAGGAATATGTGAGGTAGATTCCCAATCTTTCCCTGTTGATTGAAGGCGTGATTGGCGAAGGGGAATTTGTTCACCTGGATGAGGAGGACGATGAGGCAGCGTTGATGCATATTGATGAGGTCCACATCGTCAGTTCCGGCGGGGTCGAAAGGAAGAATTGAGTACCAGTCATGGTGGTTTTCGGTGATTATTTTGTCGGAAGATAGAAAGACGCCGGTGATGGCCAAGATTTGATCGGAGCCTTCGATGAGGGGATCGGTCTCTTGAGATGGTGAAATCATTGCTTCCCTTGAAATCCGATGATAGGAGAGCCGTTTTTATTGAACAGGTGATTTAGGGAAAAGATAGCCGTTTTTATACCACCATAAGGTGTGATTTATTCTTATATTTCTCTTTCTGAATGACAAGATAAGTTTTCTGATAGTATTTTTTTTAATTAGGTTAATGTCTACTTTTTATCCAAACCTTATTCAAATTTTTTTCTATTATCCAAATCGGTATATATAAATTAGTAATGGTGCACGAAGCGGCGGGCGCAGGGGAGGCGGCGTTGGGCGCCGACTTTGGGGGCTGGGGGCGATGAAAAGGAAGGTGCACGAGAAGCCGTTTGTGATCCCGAGAGGGTTCAACGGTCAGTGGGAGCTGTTCTCGAAGAATTCCGGGGTTTCGGCCATGCATTCGATCTTGCTGGCGAAGGTGGAGAAGGTGATTATGTACGATGCGACGATTTTGAGGATCTCGAATATCTTGCTCCCGAATGGCGAGTGCATGGTGCTCGATCGAAAGACACAGGCAAGGCGGCGGCCAGAGGCAGTCGCAGAGTGTGAGGGTTAAGGGAGAAGTGGAGAACGAAGGCCAGCAGTGATAGGGTTGGTGGGGAGTTGGTGTATTTAAGAGTAGGCAAAACGACGTCGTTTCGTCTCGGTCGGTTAGCCGGTTAACCGGCTTCGATTTCTTGGCTAACCGCTTGACCACTGATCCCTTCCGTCAACCGACCGCCCCTCTGTTTTTTCGGTTTCCGAATAGTTGCTAACCGGCGATTAACGGTTAGACCAGCCGGTTAGCCGCTAAACGGCAACCAAAATGACAGCCCTACTTTCCGGGAATCATCCAAATTTAGGTTATACAATTCGGTGGGTTGGCCTCCACGATCCCGCTCCAGCGCGTGGAAATCGCGAATCATCTGGAAATCGTTATTAATTCGCGAACTAAATTTTTGGGAGCGCGAACTTCAATTCACCGGAGTGCGGATCCGGAATGAGCACTTCTACTATGCCCTATAGTATTGGTGCTTTAATGTACAACTTTAGGTTGTACCATAACAATAAATGTATAAGTTTAGGTTGTACCATAAAGAAATTTGTATTATTATGTTATGGTATAACTTTACAACTTGAAGTTGTACCATCACATAAAGGTAAAAGTTCAAATTGTACCATAACAGAATTAGCACAAAAAGTATAGGTACAATTTGAAGTTGTACCATAACGTTAAAGGTACAATTTCAAGTTGTACCATAAAGATAAAAACTTATAGCACCAATGCTATATAGCATTGTAAAATTCCTCGATCAGGAATATGTGAGGTGGATTCCCCATCTTTCCCTGTTTCTTGAAGGCGTGATTGGCGAAGACGAATTTGTTCTCCTGGATGAGGAGGTCGACGAGGCAGCGTTGATGCATATTGATGAGGTCCACATCGTCAGTGCCGGCGGGATCGAGCGGAAGAATTGAGTACCAGTCATGGTGGTTTTCGGTGATTATTTTGTCGAAAGATAGAAAGACGCCGGTGATGGCCAAGATTTGATCGGAGCCTTCGATGAGGGGATCGGTCTCCTGAGATGGTTAAATCATTGCTTCCCTTGAAATCTAGCGATAGGATAGCCTTTTTTATCCAACAGGTGATTTAGGGAATAGAGAGCCGTTTTTATACCATCATAAGGTGTGGTTTATTCTTATATTTCTCTTTCTGAATGATAAGATAAGTTTTCTGATGGTTTTTTTTTTAATTCGGGTAATGTCTACTTTTTATCCAAACCTTATTCAAATTTTTTTCTATTATCCAAACCAAGGGTGTAAGTTTGACCCTTAAAACCCACTGACCCGCCCCGACCCGCCCTGACCCTCTGGGTCGGGCTGGGTCAGTTTGTCTATAGGGTCAATTTAGCGTCGGGTCAGGGTCAGATAGGGTCGGGTCAATTTAGGGTCGGGTCACTTTTTGACCCTATGACCCTTAGCATCATACAAACATGTTAGTCCTACTTGTAAAATTTTATAAGTTTAGGTACTAAATTGTAAAAATTAAAAAATTTGGGTAACAAAACGTAATTTTACCATCAAATTTTAGGCACTTATTTGTAAAAAAAAAATTTAGGTACTAAAATGTAAGAAAAAATAAATTCGGGTACCAAATTGTAATTTTTAGAAAAGTAGTTTATTTATTAGGGTCGACCCACTGACCCGCCCCGACCCTAAAGGGTCAGACAGGGTCATGAAAGAAACAGGGTCGGGGCGGGTCAGTTATACATCTTGACCCTTCAGGGGCGGGTCAGACAGGGTCAGGGGCGGATCGGTCCAATTTTCAGCCCTAATCCAAACCTATTAAAATATTATTAGTTAGCCAAACTTTTCGTAATGCATCAAAATATTAGTCATTTTTACGTTATCTTTAATGATTTTGTAACATTTTTCTTAGTTAAAATAATAAAATTTTGGAAGCTTGACCTTCATGTGTCTCTTCCAAGTCCGTATTATGTTGTCAAGTCAATATTACTAACAAAATTGCTAACTGAAAATTAACATTTGACTAATTCTTAGTATTTCGATAAGTTTGGCTAATAAAAAATCATTCAAAAAAGGTTTGGCCAATAAATATTCATTACCCAAATAATTATGGTATGAACATCAATCAACTTTCAATTGTTCATAATCTCTCTAACTATTTCACACTACTAGATCTTATTAAACTATTACTCCCCATTTTACATTCAAATTGGCACATATATATTAGAGTTGAAAAGAATTGTCAACCATTGACAAATTAGAAATAAAAAATATGCTCTTTAATTATATGAGTCAAAAGTGTAAATATGGAAAAATTGTCAACATTTCAATTGGTAATCATTGATTTATGGGGTTTTTATTTATTTATATGTTATCAAATTATGTGTTGACTGCTAAATTTACTCTTTATTTGAGATGAGTAACATACAAGTTAAGAGAAATAGATGAAGGTCCATCCAGCTTGCTGAAAATTATTATGATCATTTTCGGATGATGTGTCCTGTAGATGAACCGTATATATTAATATTTATAGTATCTAAGTTTTCATCATTTATTTTAATTTCAAAATTTTAATAAAACACATTTCTTATATTGCAGTTGCAATTTTATTGCAGTTGTTGAAGTGTTTGACATTGAAAATCTATATGTAAATGTTAATATTGTGGAGCAATGATGTGGAAGAGTGAACGTATTGAACCCATGAGGAATTCCACTCAACCAAAGTTTTCATTGTGTAGCAGGCAACGCAAAGTGAACCTCCCTCCTCGAAGGCAACACCCCAAAGTTTTGGAATATGCTATTGCAAGCATGTACTTCAATGAAACGTCACTTTTGGAACATATTTGAAGCCCTAATTGGGTCTTCGTGTTGACTTTTATTGGAGGTAAACTAGGCTGGTCTATAAATGATAGACACAAAGTATATGTTTTTTTTTCGATTGGAGTAGTATATCATCAAATCGATAGCCTAATACCTACTGAAAGGAACAAACCAAAATTTGCTCAAATATACATTTATGACACCAAATAAGCTCGAAAATTGATTATAATTTTTCTCTCCACATATCTTGTTTCAAATTCTTACATGAGATGTTGGGTTCAAGTAATATCTTAGTAAAAACATTTTGATCTCCAATGGATAGATTGGATGACACTGTTATTTAGCAAGTCGAAATTAAGCGGCTTGCGGAAAAAGAAGGGGATGGCAGAGAATTTAATTTACCATATGTAAATGAGATCTTTACTTTCATGAGCAAACACTTTCTCTTGATATTGTTGTCTAACATCAAAGTCACGAACTGGAACAAATTAATATATGTATATATAAGGGAAAGGCTAGCGTACACATGTGTTCACACCTATTAATTGTACTTGGATAATTAGGACGAATCAGAACTGCTGGTTTTCATTTTGAGATTAAATGAATCTCATGGTTTGGGTTAGAGAATTGAGAATTATGGTTTACGCATGAGAATCCCAGTCTCCAATTCTCTAATCCGAAACACAAAAGTCATTTAAAATAAAAAAATAATAACCAACGGTTCTGATTTCTTGAAATATATCAAAGCATAACAAGTGTGAACGCAAGGATATAACATACTTCAGGAGTACGCTAGCCTTTTTTATATATATTTACTATTCAGACCACGAATTAACCGAAATTTAGGGAATGATACTATACCCTAACCTCTAATAAGTGAACCACAGTCCCCAAGTCTCTAACATAAACCATAAAATTCATTTAGTCTAAAAAATAATAACCGACGTGACTTGTTCTAACTACAAAATACCGATAAACGGTCAAGTATAACCACCGACCGAAGTGTAGCAGAGGGCAAGAAAGCAATAAGAATTTATCGTACCACGGGGATCTAGGCTTACCCTACTTCAGGTTTAGGGTTCGTTATCTAGCCAACCTATGATAGTGATTAATACAACTAAACTAACTAACCTATAGACTAACCACTAATCATAGCTATGTACAAGGTAGGGAGCTCCCTTGGGTTGAATCCTCCTAGCACCGTCATATGATCGATGTTGAGTACCATCCTAGCTCGATCGACCCATTTTCATACCGTTAGGAGATGAACTCCCTCGGGACAGACCCGAAACGGTGAAGTGATGGATGGATAGGAGGTCTATTCAACCTAGGGCACCCCAATATCGTAGGAGTCGATCCAATAGACTCCCTCGGGGATTACCCGGACGATATGGGGTGAGGAGTTGTTTCCCTCGTAGGTCAAAATCTCGATTGACTCAATTACTCTACGGCAAATCGATGAATGTGGTAGGCTCTATTCAAGCTAGGGCAACCCTATATCGTAGGAGATTGATGGAATCGAATCCCTCGGGGATTACCCGGATGATATAGGGTGAGGAGTGACCTGAAGGCACCAATAATGGGCTCTAAGGGGATTTTCTCCCTCCTAGGTCAAAAGCTCAATCCATGAAAATGGAAACCCAACTCATGTCATTCATGAAAACATTCATCAAATAAGT